TATGAGTGACGGTAAGTGAACTCTGAGGATCTGAGTTCGGGTGTCGGAGCGGAAGAAAAACTTTGCTGGTTGAGAACACTGTTGCAGGTTTATACAGTAGGTATAATATAGCGGTGCAATTAGAAAAGTGGGAGAAAGTATGTGCTTTGGTAGCACCACTCCGTCCGTTTAAGACAAAATCTTACTACAATATTGCAATGTTAATTTTTTGCAAAATTTGAAAGTTGAAGTGAAAAAATTTGTAGTTGTTTCTGAGAAAATGACTCCTTGAAAATATTTCACGCAAAATTATGCAAAAATCACTCATATTTCCGAAATATTCTATATTACCTTATTTCTAGATGTCTTTGAACAATAGAGTGTGTCAAGAATCTGGTGGTTCTCCAATAGCACATGCTTTCTTGCGTTATTTCTAAATTTGTAATTTTCAAAAATGCAGAGAGTTCAACGAAAATGAGATCTGCGCCAATCGTTTAAGCAATCCTTGTTATACCCTGAAAAAGAATTCAACCGGATTTTGAGAATATTTTTGATTGCATTAACTTTAAACACAAAGTACGCAAAAACTACTCAGTTTAAAAAAATGTAGATGGCAATGTTCAAAGAGCTATTTTTTAGAACAGTTTTGTTTAAAACAAAAACATGTCTTAAATTTTGTAGTTTTGAAATGTTAAAATTTTGCAATTTTTGAAAATACATGGTATTCACCGGAAATGAAACTAACACTAGCATAACTGAACTAGCATGTTTTACCATAGAAAAGAAATATGGAGCCATTTTAAAAAAAGGAATTTAAAAAACTAAAATTGCCTACATTTAACGCAAATTGATGATAAATTACTTATATTTACGAAAACAATTTCATGACCACAGAGATCACATTTTGCAGAACATATTTCATTATGAAACGAGTAAAAAATTGATCTTTTGCAAATTTCATAAATTCAGATATTTGAACGAAAGTGAGATCTACTCCATTTTACACTATCCTAGCAAAATGTTTAATAAAAAAATAGAAAGCATATTTAAGAAAATTTTGGATACATCGTGTTACATGTTGTTACTGTGACTTTATATAAAGTACACCTAAAAATCAAAATATAAGTTTTAACCAGGACCTTGTGTTGAGAGAGATCGATCGGAGAATATCACTCTTCGAGAAAATCGTCTGAACGGTTAGTGCTAGTCTTGTGCAGATGGACGTGTTGCTGTTAATCTGCGTTCGGTATTAAGGATCCTCAATACGTGGACCCTGACTATTCAATGCGTTGGAGGAAGTAATTTACAACATTCTGGAGTTTTATCCACTTTTTCGCTACCAGAGCCACAAAAGTTTAAATATCATGTAAAATATTGTCTGCTGCATAACTGTTTAATTGTGATACAATTAGAGAATATACCAAGCATAAAAATGAAAGTAATATTGATTTTAACAATGATATTCAATGCATTAGTGAGATGTAAAATTCTAAAAGACAAAATATGTTTGTAATAAGTATTGTTCTTCCTCAGCTTCTGATCAATGGCCCCATCACGATCAGGCTTTTAGTCCAGTTTCCCTGATCTTTGAGCGAGATCTGAGATGGCCCCTTGTTTTGCTTTAGGAAATAAATGTTACTTCACTATCTGTACACATTTTCTGGGGTCTAGTAGGAAGTATATTTGATGAAAGTAATTAAATTAAAGTTCTCAATGTTCTTTCATCCGTAAGTAGATTCCATCATGACAGGTACGATAAGGGATAAAAAATCTGAATTGATGTTCCTTTGTAACTAGATTTGTTTACACGAGATATCTTATCAATTCTTACCAAAACGCTTATTTTTACCTTTATTTATAATTGAATTTCCATATGATTTAGGTAGAGATTCCAGAATTTAAGAACAGAAGGCATGTACAGAATTCACTTCTTCCCGCAGTACGTTACAGTTTTAACTGTTCTTTGACGTATAATGAATATATTATATGATATAATAAATAAATGAAAACAATACCAGTTTTTTCTGCCAAAAATCGTCGATTCCTGTCGCAGAATTACAATACAAGGATTACAATATGTAGAAAGGGAAAGAAAGAATATATGAAAGTGTGTCTGAGATGTAGATTATAGGTTCGAACTCTGTGTTAAAATGACATTCAGCATTCAGTTATTTATAAGCATACGTTGCAGATAGGACATTTAATGTTACTAGCCACCATATTTGTTCTTCGTTCTTTTCTCAAAGTTTATTTGAAAGTTTATATCGAATAAAAATACAATACTTAAAGATTCAATCACATAGTAGAGTAAGGGAGAGTAAGATCAAGCCTAACAGATGTTTGTAGAGTTGGTAAGAGGTTTACGAACCTGGAATGTACATGGGAACGTTTACCAATACTTACGTAAATTATACAAAAACTGAAAAGCTGTTTTCCGCTATTAATAATTGAAAAAAATATTTATAAAGGACATTTTCGTCATTATACCATACCTGAGGAGTAAGATGATGAGGCGGGCTGGATAAGATGGCGAATGAAGACAACATATTAATCATGGTATACAATACTTTACTTTAAAACGCTGAAAACGGAAATAACTTACTAAATAACAAAATACAGCAGACTAGCCGTGACTGAAGTTCTAAGTGTTAGCTACAACACCATCAACACTTGAAACAAGCAGGTGTTGAATTTACATACAAAAATCTCCTGTGTCTCCACTGGTATCATAATTCTGTCTTCTCCCGCTCCCAACAAATGATGCAGTCTTGTCAGTGAACGTTCAATACATCATCAACCACGTCATCGCGTTTAAGGATCCTCGCCTCGAGCTGTCTCATCATTTGATGATAAATTCAATTCATGGCGCTCTGACTTAAGTTGTTACATCATTTAAAATAACTGCATTAATTGCCTACCCACTTCCCCTAACACTTTTTAGGATTCATGATCATTGCATAATGATGTGCATCTGATGAACACCTAAGAAACACCTTAAGTTCTTAAAAAAGAAATACTGTAATTATAAATTAGAGTATAAAATGAAAGAAAACAATAATTATAACTTAAAATTAATTATACGAAATATAGTATAAAAAACGAAACTAACAACGCCTGTAGAATAAGGCGAAGTTTCGACCTCCTCGTCATCATACTCGCAATGCTGTTTCTCATCTTACCCCACCTCGCCGTTTCAGTTTGATCTTTGTCTACCAGTATCGTCTTCATTGCAAACAATCTAGTACATGATTTTGCACGGTTTAAGATGTATTTTACGAGTATTCCAGGAGGGAGCTAAAACAACTTACCTTTGAAGTTTCTTATGCTGTGAAGACCAAAAATTACAAACTTCATCTTCCAAATCGCTTTTGAGTCTGTCACAATTGAGGGGTTGCACTGAGCTACCTTCTTCCTGGAGATGTGTATTTCTAGCCGCCAGAGAACTCTGAAGACCTAAGTAGGACTTGCTACATGTTAGTATATTCGAGATATACCGAATTCATCTTACACGCTTCGCCATCTTACCATCCCTTCCCCTACTACAAAGTGTTCATTAATGAGGAATATTTTAAACAGGAGCTAATTTGAGTATATTAAAATCATTGCTTCTGGATATAATCTTGACCATTAGAAGGTGTGAAAAGCAAATAAAGGAGGAAACTATCGATTATATTTTCCAAGAAAAATGTAATTTTACTCAACGAATTCAAAAAATGATTTCTCCTTATCTCCAAGATAGATATGTATGAATATTATTTCTAATAAACCGACTCAATTTTCCAAAATATTTAATATCTCTCCAGCGTTTCTGTTCATGTCCAACTTTGAAGACTGGGAATTCTAATTTGCCAACCGCTATAACAATTTAATGCGATGGCACATTTCAGTATTTTGCCATGCCTCTTTGCCACGAAGAATGAAATGATGTCAATGCAACTTGAATCAAAAAGCATAGAAATACAAATATATTTTTTAATGAAATTACAAAGATTGCAAATTTTTCTCTTTATTCTTTGTTTTAATTGAATCCTTATTGAAAGAATGGAAATGAAAATTAATGCTATTGGCTTACAACACATAATTTCTCGCATTATTTGTAACTTTTGTCATTTTTAAAATTCAGAGACATTACCGAAAATCTTATCTGTATAATTTTCATAAACGTACATCGCACGATCTGAGAAAAATCTTTTTAATGAAGCGATTTTGAGAAAATCTTGTTTCTAAAGCTGCCATTATTTCGCCCGAATTGCGCGAAAACTACTCATATTTTGAAAAAATATACGTGACCTTTAAATATCTAAATTTGAAGACCATATTTCACAAAGTAAAATCTCTATTTTAACTAATGTAATTGTAGTAAGTGAAAAATAATTAACTTTTTTAAATTTAACAATTTTTCGAAAATAGGACTTGCAAAATTAAAAATGGTACGTACTTTGCTCTACCCGACCAAACGTAATTACAAAATGTGAAGCCATATTTGAGAAAATTTTGAAAAAGGTTTGAGCCTTCATGTAAAGTACCCCCAAAATGAAAATACCTGTATGAAACTCAAAGGGCCACGGCATCGCCAAAATCGATTAGGGATTATCTATTTTTGTGAAAAATCCTACTTAGGATTTGCCGCTTGTGTTGTTCACAGACGGGGTCGGAGAAGCAGACTTTTGTCGTAAACATGTTTTTCTGTATCAAGAACTCACAAAATGATGATTCTGACTATTTACGTATATCTTAAGAAAACTAGAGATGGTAAAACATCATATACTTTCTTGCCTTCTTTGCAATGGTAGATAATATTATAATACTGCAACTTGTATTTTACAAATACTTTTTACAATGTATATTTTATTAAGTTCGATACTTGATCTTTTTTAACCACAACAACAATTACAGCGTCGTCTTTAACCCCAAATAACAGGCAAGGAAAAGAGTGAGTTTCAATATTTCGCAACCCCATATCCTCTCGCGCTGTTTATACTGAAACATCTAGAATACTATTTCTGTCAACTTACAGCCGTATGTGTAATGTTCCGTATCAGAGTAGGTCTACCCGAGATTTAATGCCGCACTTTTCTTTTTGCAATGTTAGAGACTCATGATATATACCATATTGCGTCAGGTCTTAGCCCTCTTGTGAGTTCGTGAATGCTTTTCGACGTACTCGTTCTCCGATCTCCCGCGTCAGCAATCGATCCGTGGACGTGGTCAGGTTAAGGAATAAGACCCCATATTTCAAATAGAATGACGTGAAACATTAAATGAAAGTGAAAATTGAGCGTAAAGCAATTTTTATTTTCTCGCGTATGTCTATGCAGTATAGAGAAAGTTGTTGCTGCAGTAAATACTTGAAATTTTTCGAAAGATAAACTCATTTGGGTGAACCCTCATAACGAAAAGTGAATAATTATTGGCTTCATATGTAGTACATGGCTTTTTATAATAAACTCTTTAGTCATGATTCACTTTTGATGTGTCCTTGATACAAATTGTTTTTTTGCTAAACGACTTTTTGTCCGTGTCTGAACAACGCTAGTGCCTAAACCGCTCACAGAATTTTCACCAAATTTGACATTTCGTAATCGATCTGTATGATGACATGGCCCCGTGAATTTGAAACGGATATTTTGATACACTTTTCATGTATTTTATCAAAATTAAATGAGACATTTCTTTCGGTGTACGTACAATAATTATCAATTATTCCCCTACATTTCGTACTTTTTCATAACAAAGTCAACAGCCGAAACCCTATCCTAGTGTACGCGTGTACGTATGTGTACTTTCTGAATGAGCCCGAAGAGAATTTCCAGCATGTTTTCTCGGGGTTCTTCCGCTTCTCTTGTCTCTCTTTTCACAATTTCTCCATCACGATTCACATCATATCATTATCCTCTTACTGTGAATAAGATGATAATGATATGATGTGAATCGTGATGGAGAAATTTAGTTGCAGATTTGTCAAAACGCTTAGGTAACACTGGATTTGTAGTAAACAAGTTCATTGAAATATAAATTATTTATTTAATACATTACATTTAAAATTAACACATTACAATTAATATTATACACAATCCAGTCACATTAATGTTACCACCACCTATGTTGGACGTAAACGTGCTATAGCCCCTCACAGAGGGCAGGTAGTAGCACTAACAGGAGGGGGCATATAAAGCGTGTCAGGTGAAAGCGGCAAACAGGGATAATGCAGAAACGGAGCGGTTTATCGGATGTCCAAAAGGGCATGATCATTGACTTACGGGTCAAGGACGTTGCGTTTCCGAGACGGCTACGTTTGTGATGTTCACATACCGCCGTGGAAACTATACTGTGTATGGCAAAATGGCGATATCCAAAACTGGCGCCGAGGCAACTGTGGCGCACTACGGGACATAGATGACAGAGGCGAACAATGCTTGCGGAGATGTGTGGGGGAGGATAGACTTGCAACTGTAAAGCAACTGACCGTCCAGACAAGCCAAGGGGCTTCCAACATGGTCTCCTCAACAACCGTGCAGTAATCGTTGTGGCGTACGGGCTTCCTCATCAGGCTCCTGGTTCATGCACTCATGCTGACTGCTGTTCATCCGCGACGAAGGCTGGAACTTGCACGTCAATATGGCAACTGGGCGCCAAAAGAGTAGCGACAGGATATCTTTTCAGATGAATCACGTTTTCTGCCATCGGACAGATGGACATTGGCGTAGGCGGCGTGAAACGTCTGAACCCATACACCCTGCAACAATCGCCGGACGGGTCCAGGTCGGAAGAGAGCGTGATGGAGTGGGAAATGTTTTCGTGGCATTCTCTGGGTGATCTCGTCATTCTGAAAGACCCAATGGATCAAGAGAAGTATGCAGCCATCCTCCGGTGCCGTGACCACCCCTTCATGCAGATCGTTTTTCCTCAGCAAGACGGCATTTACCAGCAGGACAACGCATCATGTCATACTGCCCCCGCTGTATGTGCGTGGTTCGAAAAGCACCCGGATGAATTTACAGTACTCACCTGGCCACCAAAATCCCCCGATTGAAATCCAATAGAGAACTCTGGGTCCATTTTGATCGGGCTGTTAGCGTCATGAATCTGCAACAGAGGAACCTAGCGCATCTGGCCACGGCATTGAAGACGGCATGACTCCACATGTCTCCACGGAGGGTACAGACAGTGCTTACTACCTATCATCCAGATTGAATCTCTTCCTGAAGCTCTCGCTGCAGTCATCGCTGCGAAAGGGAGTTAGTCAGAAGTCTGCGGGTGGTTACATTAATGTGGTCGAACTGTGTATAATATATATTGGCAATTTATCTTGCTTCATGTTCTCTGTACAAATCAGGATTATATTTCATGTTATCGTTCGTTTGTTAGGGTTGAATTTTAACATGTAGTGCGTTTTTTGCTTCCAGAGGATCAGTTATGCCTCACGGTGCCTTGCCTGAAAGCCGCCGTCTCCATGGTGGACTCCCGCAATCCAAACGTGAACCCTTGCGAAGACTTCTATGAGTACGCTTGCGGGGGCTGGGCGAAGGCAAATCCTATTCCAGATGGCAAATCAATGTGGGGAACGTTCGGGAAACTGGAGCAGCAGAACCAATTGGTTGTGAAGAACGTGTTAGGTAAGACCTCTCATTTCAGTAGAATAATAGAAGATGACTCGAAAATAAGTTGGTAAAAGCAGGCACGAGTCAGAGTGTTTCCTACTTTACATCCGTGGAATTTCCAGTGTCTCTTAAAGCAGCAGAAGGCATCGCAAACAAACATGTTGAAGGGTGTGTGTGTGGAGGCTATGCATCAACGCACCGAAAGGTTCAATCCGTTTCCGTTATGTATAAGTTTATTTGGCAAAAATTCCAATTGTGGCAAATGTTATATTAGTACCCGGTTAATTCGCACATTATCCAGACGGTGTGGATAAAGCGTTATCGATCACGATGACCAGATCATTAAAAACTTAATTCTGCAAATTTTATGAGTAATAGTGCGCTTGCTAAAGAAAGGCGATTGTCCTAGTGTGAGAGATTTGTTGGTTCGTGAGAAGTATTTTGGCATAAAATGCTTTGGAAAGTATGCGTTGCATGGACTTACAGTTAGTGCATAGACTCAAGTCGCAAATGCCGAAGGCTGCAGCCTCATCGTCAACTCGGAAATGCGTCGTAAACTGACATCAAATTGGAAATGCGTAGCAAATTGAGGTACATAGTGAGAGTAGATTAAGTGGTATCGACTGGGATGGTGGTAGGAACATTAGATCACGAAACTATACATCTTGCATTTCGCATTATAAACTTCCCAACAAACTGTCTGCTCCCTGTTTATACAGACCTGCTATTCTTCGTCACCGTAAGTACTTTTCCGACTTTAGCCCCCACATATTGGCTAAATAATCTGCATTTCACCTGACTAAAGTCCAATGTATGCTTCCAAGCTGGTCCTGGTTTGGAATTCAGAGTAGCCCCATATACACGTGACGCTACATATACACGTGAATCATATGAGGAGATCAAAGTGTCATCGTCGTAGTATATTTTTGAATTGTGGCGACGTCCGAGCAACATTTACCAGAAACGTGTATCGAAAACATTGCCGTAGCTGAGTTACGTTCTCTTCCACGTTCTTTCAACCAGATAATTTGGATAATGTTATCTGAGACCGACATCTGGTGGAGAAAATGAGAATCACATCTTGGCGCTGCAAGGTACGCCCATGAGCGGCGCCTGCTGAAGCTGCAAACAATAGCCGCTTTCCTGCAAACTATCCCACATGAAAAGCGAGTAGAATATCGTATATCCTGCATCGGGTTGAGAAGTTATTTCAAAAGTAGTATATGTACTCTCCAAAGTCTTATTTATGAGAAACTTCAACAGCATCTTTTCACGGACGCCCTCAAATATTGTAGTGCAGATATTGTAGCACTATCAAGTATTGTAGTGCATTATACTAATTCAGGCATCCGAGTTCCAAATTAGCACTATATCACTGAAAATATGTTTTAGAAAAACAATGTCGACTTTCCAACATTAAACCTTGAAAACTAACGAATACATTTTCTGATTCTTCAGAAAAGCGTATTGATCAAAACTGCTTTCTTTAAATAAGTCATTTGTTTGTTCGAATGTTGTTGATTTTGGAGCTGTCAAAATGTGTCAGTTAATATTGTTCTGCATTTATTTTCAGAAAAGCCACAAACCGAATTGGAAAGCGAAGCAGAGAGGAAGGCTCAGATGTACTACAAATCATGCATGGATGTCAACGACACAATCGAGACTTTGGGAGCAAAACCAATGTTGGATTTGTTGAAGAAAGTGGGAGGATGGAATATAACAAAAGGATTTAATGTTGAGAAATGGTCCCTGCAAGAAACGTTGCAAACTCTACAAAATCGATATAACATGGGAGGCTTATTCACATGGGCAGTAGGAGAAGACGACAGAAACTCTAGCAGACATGTCATTCAGGTATGGCAGTTGATAATAATGAAAATATACTATACTCAGAAAAATGTGATAGTGATCTACTGGATTGGTAGCTAGCCGGAGAACATGATTATCAAAGAAATACGAACACACATTCTAGTGAGGTTCTTTAAATGTATTAACACTCGAAACTACTCCGACATCCAATCCAAGTAACTTTCCGGAGTTCCTGCACAAAAAGGATTTCTCTCGTTGTTACTTATTTATTTATTTACGTATTATATATTTATCTAGGAGTGTTAAGACAAGAGTCGTGGCAACTACTTTTTTTTAAAAAAGAAATTTTATCGAATCACATAATTTTAATTGCCGAGTGAAAGAAATGCGGTACTAATATATGTTCACAACAACAGATGGCTCTGTCTCTATTAGAACGAAGAGCAATGTGAAATAAAGTGTTTTGACTGCCTCCGTGCGAGATGATTGTAACTTGTTTCGAGCAGCGCTCATACTCAAAGATAGCCGTTCTCCGTGGGAGAAATTCCCAAGAATATCACAGGGAATTGGTGGAAGCTCTTGGGAATGAAGTCCTTCCATAATTGACAGTCGTAGGAGGGCTTCTGTGAGATCGCGTAGCAACCAGTGACGGCCTGTGAAGGAGCAGACCGAAGTAGCACGTGCGGTAATCGAGAATCAACCTAATTGGGCCTTTAGAATGGGTACATTATGCTTTTCGAATGTTGTGAACTGTATACTGAATAGCTTTACAACATGAATCCTGGACTGTTGTTTAAAATACCTTAATAAATATTAGAAACACAATTTTTGAGTGTCAAATGTCCATGCACTTAAGGCTCATGAGTGATTATCTAACTCGTTAATGGCAACAGAGCAACGGTGAAGAAAGGAATGGGGCAACGGGAGAACCCCGTGGAAACCTACCGGGAGCTCGCTTTGTCCGCAACGAATTCAACACGCTTTGGCAGGGGAAAGAACCCGGACGCCAGCGGTAGCAAGCGTTTCGCTAGCCCTTATGCTTCGAGCCTGCTTTCTTTATTCGATTCTCCGTCTCTACCTTTTTCACCGTGTCTGAGATGACAGGTTTTTATGAATGAGATGAAAGGATGATGATAGTAAATTTGAATAATGACCTAGTAATCAACCAACACTTTTCTAGAATTGCGGCTGAACTCACGAAGGGACTAAAACCGCAAAATTCAACATCATACCCTTCCCAAAAGAGTTTCGACGCGATGTTTATTTTGAAAATTCTTCTGACGAAATTCTGAGAATAATCAGTGCACTAAAAAGTAAATATTCATCTGGTTTAGATGACTTTCCGTATTGTTTATTTAAAACATATGCTTTGTACTCCCGTTAACTCATATTTTCAATGCTTCTTTATGCACAGGATTAATTTCCAGATACATTCAAGACAGCAAAAATTAAGCCACTTTTTTAAAAAAGGAACAAAAATGAAATTCAAAATTAACGGTCGATTTCTCTTTCGTCAGTTTTCCCAAAAATATATGAGAGGCTTTTCTATACGCGAATGGAAAGTATTCTCAGGAAAACGAAGCGTTTTCAGACTCACAACGCGGTTGTAGAAAATCAAATCTATGGAAACTGCCATTTTTTCTGTTCGTAAAGATGTTGTTTCATCAATAAACCAAAAGGAAGTACCCATTGGAATATTTTTAGTTCTTTCGAACTTTAGCTAGAATTAGAATTTTAGCTTTTGGCTTTATTGACCATAACATCTTGCTATCAAAATTACCGTCTTATAAAATTCGTGGTATCGCCCTGTATTGGATAACTTCGTACCTTAAACATCGATCTCAAAGAGTAGAATTACCGTACTGGCGCGAAAGGACATTATTTACTTGCCTTTCCTATTCTTTATCAGTTGAATATGGGGCCCCGCAAGGTTGGATCGTGTGTCCTATCCGCTTTCTGTCATACGTAAACGATATGCCCTCGTCTATTAAAAACGGGAGAACGGTTCTGTTTGCTAATGGCACGAATGTTCTTTGCAAAAAATCAACAATAAAAATTACGATTTCAGAAATTTCAAATTGGTTTCGTAATAACAAATTAATAGTTAACGAAGGGGAAATAGTTTCAATGCATTTTTGCATTTCAAATCAACAATGGCATGCTCTATTGAAAATGAACAGTATACATTTAGCTGATGTTAAGGTAACAAAATTTCTAGGTCTCTCATTTCAGTCAAACCTCAAATGGAATGTGTGTGTGTATAATATAAAAACAGAATTAAACACTAAATTAAGTTCATTATGTTACGCATTTAGAATTCTTTCAAATTCTGTCAGCCTTCACGCAGCTCGTTGCGTGTATTTTGCAAATGTGCATTCCTGTCTGTGATATGGCATAATATTCCGGGTCAATGACCCCCATCTCGATCAGGTTTTTGTCCAGTTTCCCTGACCCATTGAGCAAATGCTGAGATGGCCCCTTACTTTGCTTCTGAACGTAAATGTAGCTTCACTATGCTCACGTTTTGTTGAACTATCCTTGTGCTTGTAATGGTAGGAGTAGAGGTAAGAGCGAGTTACTATTTTTTAGCAATGTAGAAAAACCATACTTGCAATTCGTTTACCGATGCAAATAAGTTTTCTATAATTCGGGAACAAAAATGTCTATTATTTTCAAATATTGCTAAATTTATTTTTATTTATTTTAAATTTTTACTCGTCTTTCAACTATTTTTAGTTAAAATAACGGGAAGGGATTCTGGACCTCAAGAAAACAAGCGCTGATGATCTTCTCCCCCATACGACACATGCAGTTTTTACTATTTTTTGACTAAATATAAATCTAGATTTTTGAAGGTCATAATAAAGTAATATTGAAATAGGTAGGGAAAACCGAAGAACTTCAAAAAACTCGGTCTCTTACTCTTTTCCTAAAAAACAGTTGGGTTTAGCTCAGATCCAGCATTGCCGAATTGCCACAAATTCCAAGTGGAACTCCCGCGATTTGAAGTTCAGGGATCAAAGTTCGCAGGTGAGCAGTCTGAAGTTTATACCGCGTCATACCTGATCACCCCTCTCTTATACGTATATACATATACATATAAAGACTCTCAGTTCACGAATACGCTGAAAGAGAGGTCAATATTGAACCCTATATCCCCCAACCGCTCGGGTTGAGTACGACATCCAGAGCAACTTTCGCCGTATTCATGGTTCCTTTTTGATTGACGGTGTGCATGTCACTCAAAAATTGCACTTTATAACAAGCTCTCACTTATAAACACGAAATCTTTTCTGATCGCAAACTCCCGTTTTTCTTTTTATGAAAACAGAGACAAGAAGAGAAGGGTCGCTATCGTATTTTATCTCAAGCTTAAAGGAGAGAGATTCTTCTAGATTGCTAAAACACATGCCGTTGATTCAGTACCAAATAATGCTGCGAAAGTTTAACGGATGTAAATGCAGAATGACTGTACTTTAAGAGTAATTTGTAAAAAATATTTTTTCTACCTTTGTACTACATTTTACTTTTCAGACATTAGCTTTATGCTAACAACATAATTTGTAATTTTTGATGACTAATCAAAAAGTTTATTTTTTCACGTTGAGGCTAAAATAAATTTTACAGTCTGGTCAGTTTGATGTTTCACTGCTGAGAAATTAGTTATAAACAAAAATAAATCTTGAATTTGTTTCAGATACAGATTAGAAAAAAATCTGAGATTTCTTACTTTATTTAACTGAACACTGACTTAATTCCTTTACTGTTGATATATTTATCCACGAGTCTGTTACAGATTGATCAAGGGGGTTTAACTCTTCCAACCCGTGATAATTATTTGAATAAAACTGGAAATGCAAAGGTCCTTGCCGCTTACTTGGAATACATGACAAAGGTAAGATATGTTTTCTTATTTTAATACATGTTCTAATGCAAAATACGACTTGTAGTTAGAGGCGTGCGTTTTTAATATTTGTCCGGGAAACTGCTTCTTAAAGAGGGCAGATCGCGTATTTTTTGTGTAGTTTCAATATTTGGTTTCCTAATATTGTTTGGATCTCTGTGTACACAAATATCAGATGTGCCAACACGAATTTTGTCTGTAAATAAATTTTCAGTGATGTGTTCCATTGCCTTCTTCTTTTTCGCATTTTCGACATCACTAATTAACCTAATGCTATTTGAAGATAAACTTGCATTGTTAATGCACTCACTTAGACCAATGCAAATATTGTAAACTGGCAATGATTTGTCTCGCTTAACTCTCCGAGCTTCTACAAATAGCGACTGTACTTCACGAAACGAACGGGTTCGGGTGATGCCTCAACCAGACTCAAACCCGGACTGTGTAGTATAAAGTAGTAGTAGTAATAGTATAAAGTAACATTATTTTACAGAGACTTCGAAGCACAAATTCTTACAATAGCTTACAACGTCAACAATGACACACGTGTAGCTTATTTATTGTAGCTAAATTACGTTATTTTTGTAACAAGATCGGAAAGGAAATGCCTCCCCCGAAGCGCGAGCCCCGTCGAGGCGGAGTGGAGCCAAGGATCGTAGAAAGGGGATTCCGAAATGTGGGTAGTGAGCGGTTCAAAAAACACTCCATTGAGATGTGGAGGGTGACCAACCTTGGCTCGAAAAATACCTAGCAAAAATGTTTCTTCTAAAAGTGCAATTTTGATCCTTTATTTGCTCGCAGGTGGGTGTTCTTCTTGGAGGCGAAGAAAAAACCACTCGAGATCAGATGAAAGCGGTGATAGATTTTGAAACAGAGTTGGCAAATATTACTTCACCACCAGAAGATCGACGAGATGAGGAGAAGATATACCATAAGATGGCCCTTGGTGAAGTTCAAAAGAAAGCTCCATTTGTAAGTTGCTTTTTTTTCTGAATGATTATCCCTACGACGTTAACAACTGTAACAGATGAAATGTACCAAGTGACATCCAGCTAAACGAATTAATTTACTCCCTGAATTTAGATTGCTCAATGTGTTATGCAAATAATCTAACGAAAAGTATGTATGTTATTAAACTTTTAATAAAACCTTATTTGTCTAAAACAAAAGAAGAATAACGAACATAGGAAATGCCATACTAGTATTTCCTATGTCATAAAACGTTGGAAGCCATAAAACATGAATAAATGACACATTATTGTCAAGCATAAGGTAAAATTATTTCACTCGTCCTTAGATAAATGTATAGTGCCACATTATTCAATCATTACGAGCCGAGGGCGCTAAATTCAAGGAGACACAAAAATTACCAATTTGTGGTGACATGACAGTGCATTTAAATTTTGCCACTTTTAATGCAACAGTTATTGGTTATATCTAAAATAATTTCCTTTTACACAAAATTAGCATTATTGTTGCAATTGTAAAATGTAACAATACAATTAATCTTAATTTATTTCCTCTTTGAGAGGGTAGAAGTTATTTCTATCAATTTCAAATGGAGCATGTACATTGAAAAGATTTCAAGGCTTGAGAATGCAACTTTCGCGCATCTCTCTTTAAATGAAGAAATCTTCGTGAGAAAAGATCATTTTTCTTTCGTGGCCAACCGCCTCTCCGGCACCCACGCTCATTTATTCGACAGAATTGTAAGTTAAATTTTGTACATTAATCCTCCGAAAATACAACCTGCTGACGTAGCTCAGGGCAACAACTCTTGCCACTGCATTGTCCTGGATTTCGAGCCCGACGGGGGCGGATTTTCGGCTCTAACACTGGTCAACAGCAAATTTGCGACGTGGGAATATTATGTTTTTTGGTTGAAATTGTACCTCTGAACACAAAAATAATGTTGAAAGCCGCCTGTTTTCGTAGAATAGCCGATTATCTGTCGCTTTGTCTTGCAGAATATCACGTTTCCCTTAGCTATGCAAGTCGATACAAATATCGTTATCTAAACTATCCGGGACGAGCCGCGCCACTGAAGTGGTGGCTAACGATTCAGCCAGCGTATTGTGGCCTTCCTCAGAGCGTACTGCTTACAGAGCTGGGTAAATGTGTTATTACTGTTTTTTGGAATTTATTGTAGTACTATTATCTTTTCAGCTTAATTGGCAAAAATACTTTTCTGATGCCATGCCTGAAGGTCGCAAAATAAATGACAGTGAAATGGTAGTTGTTTATGCACCAGATTATCTTGAAAGACTTACTAAAATAATTGAGGAGAAGAATTCCACAAAAGAAGGCAAAATGTAAGCATTTATAATTTTTTATCTGAGATGTATTATTTCTGCAAGCAAAGTATATTTACGGGTACATAGTAAAATAACATATTTTCATTTTCTTTTACTTTCAGTATTTTGAATAACTATCTCATTTGGCAAACTGTACGTAGTCTCACAGCCTGTCTCTCTAAAGCCTTCCGAGATGCTTATAGAGGTCTTCGCAAAGCCCTAATTGGATCAGATGGAGGAGAAGAACCATGGAGATACTGCGTCACTGACACAAATAATGTGATTGGTTTTGCAATTGGTGCCATGTTTGTCAGAGAAGTTTTTCAAGGGCAATCCAAACTAATGGTAAAAGTAATAGAACTGGTCATATTGTAGTATCATTTGTTTGTTTGTTTTTTGTTATATTTTCTTCTCCTCTGAGTTTTGTGTTTAGTGTGTTTCCAAACTTGTTATTGTGTGTACACCATATGTTGTGATGTATTGAATAATACTTTAAAATTTTCTTTTATAATTTAATCGTACTTAGAGATACATATATTATTTCTTAGATTTCTCTGGTTTTTTCTGTTTTGTTTGTTTTTAACGTACTTTGAAACAAAACCTTGTTTCAGAAAATTATATAAAATAAAAATTACAGATTGAGTCCTTATAGAAAACTAATGGTAATGATTCTTATTAGAATTACATTAACTCGTTCGGTTCTGATGGCATGTGCATCTTATTTTGAATGTATGTTTTTAAAATTATATGTGTATGTTACAGTGAAATTTTATTAGTATACAACAGCAATACAACATGTACATAGAAATGTTAGAAACAATACACAAAAAATGCATTTTGCATCTTAAATTTACTTTCATTAATATCTTTCAGGCCGAAAATATGATAAATGAAGTGAGAAATGCCTTCAAAAAGAACCTCAAAAACTTGAGTTGGATGGACGATGAAACTCGAAGAGCTGCTGATGAGAAGGCTGATGCAATTACAGACATGATAGGTAAGGCGAATAGTATTCATGTGATTATTATTCATAATCAATGAAAATTATTACCTATTATTGTAATCTAGTGGTATGACAGCTATTAGGGAGCTAAATAAATTGAATATAATCAAAATGTACTAGCATAAATCCACCTTTTAGTAATCTTGGTGGTAACCGGCGTGTGTCAGTGAGCACGCCCGCTACTTACAGTTAGACCTCTTCCGGTCCTCTATTCGGGGCAAACGACGTATCATTCGACACTTTCCTTAATCCTTCTAAAACATTCTACGAGGATTCTCGGGGGTGGCATGTTTCTGTGAAGTTTTAAGCACTTAAAACGCGTTATTTGGAGTTTTATAGGCTCGATACAGCGTTTTGCAGAGGGTAACGTAAAGCAACGACGTGACCAACGGCACGTAAAATGAGTTTGCACAATGTTTTATTCTAAATGTAAGTTGTTCCGAACTATGGCGGCATAGTGTGTGTTAAATTCCTGAAATGCCACATCTGTTGATTCGCATTCGTTCGAGCTCGCCATCACCCTTTGATCTGTAGCCTGTATAAAATTATATTATTTAATTATACAAGCCTCTCGCGTGTAGCCCACGGCACAATTGAAGCTGTAGCTGTCTCATTCAAAACCATCTGTTTCTGTAGCTGCTTGACGACGGAAAACGCTCAGGCAGGCCAAGTAGGTTAGGTACGGTGATGGGAGTGCGTCACGCTCGTCACAGGTCTCCCATACCTCCAGGCGTGGATAATGAATAGAACAGAGCCCAGGCCTGGGGCCACGGCTATCCTGCAATAATCGGATTAATTCGACACTAAAATTCCAAACAAATACATTAAAATTGTATTATGTATATAAATGGATGTTGGTATGTATAAGTGCGACAAACTCCCATACCGTGAGACCGATCTCCATAAAAGTTGTCAAATCTGCGTGTTTTTTCACCCAGAAGGTTTATGTGCTGTTAATTTTGCTGTACTTCTACTGGATGGCGCTGCAGGATAAAATTGCTCTTACTTTTGATTCAATTTCCTTCACACTGCGCTCTATCTAGGATTCATTGTTGCTGAGCGTTGCCGTGTGACGCAGGGCGAGCCCGAGAAGGTCAGAGCAGCAGAGAGACACAGGGAGACAGAGAAAGGGAGGGCAGGGATAGAGAGACGGAGACGGACAGGGAGAGAGACACAGAGACAGAGTCAGACACAGTCAGGGACAGAGAGAGAAAGGGAGAGGGAAGGAGATAGAGGGAGTTGAAGGGCAGAATAACGTCTGCCGCGTTTTACTAGTGAAATAAATATAACTAATATCATATATACAGATCACGACGTTCATAAAGAGCATGTAAATCTTACAAACCCCGTGGTAGGGATTAATGCCACCAACACTATGTTGCAACATGGATTTGGAGAGTTAGCATCACACTCTGCCGCCACAGTTAGGAACAAATTCTAATTAGCAAGACCTAGTGATAAGTATGCATTCGTTTTAAGTCGCCCGCTAAATTCAGCTGAACAGCGGGCTCCACTACCATATCGAGATCGAGTTGCCGCATGCGAAGAGACTCGAAGGTGGTATACGTTATAGTACGTCACGCTACAAAAACTCTAATAGAGAGTGAAGTATTTTAGCCTAATAGTTTGAAGGCTTTATCAAGTAAGGTAACCAAGTGGGGTCCCGTTTTGAAGAGGTTCGAGTCCCATGATTTCTAGAGGGTGTTTTTCGTTTATTTTCCCTTTCTCGCATGACTTGAAAAAAAGTATTATAATCGAGCGCCGGAAAACTGTGATTTTTCGACAGAAAAACTGTTATTGCCGGACCCTGGTAAAGAAAAAAGGATAAATCGTGTTTCTATATGTAGTAAATTACTTCCTTTCAACGTTTAGTCAGAATCCATATTTTGAGGATCCTTGATACTGAAAAATCGATTGGCGGTAAAACATCTGACAGTCCGTTCTTCCGTCCTTCCATCTGTCTGTGCTAGCGCTAGTGCATAAACAGTTCAGATGATTTTCTTCATAATTAATATTCCCCGATCCATGCAAAGGAATTCCACGCCCTGTGAGTTTGAAACAGATTTTTAGGGAGGTATTTTACATGAAGCCTCAATAACATTTTCAAAATTTTCTCAAAATTGACTTCAATTTTTCTTTTAACTTTGTTCTCGGATGGAATAGAAAACGCTTAAAAGAATAGTACAGGTCTCATTTTCGTTGAAATCTTTGGTTTTCAAAAATTGCAAAATTGCAAAAATGTGGTTCGGCGGTTTCCTACAGCTACAATATTGAAGAGAGAGATGTTTTCTTAATAAAGTATGTTCTTTATAGACAGATATTGAAATACGTTCATGTGCAATTTTTCGAAAATATGAGTTGTTTTCGCGAATTTTTGGGTGCAATATAGGCAATTGTTAACTATTATTTTCTCAAAAACAGCTCCAATTTTTGCCTTTAAATTGTCTTCTCGTTTGTTTCAAATAATGGTAAAAAACTAGTGCTAGTCTCACTTCTGGCACAATGTTGGCACAATGAATTGATGCTCACTATAGTTATAATATTCACGATTGTCCATTGCGTCAGCACGAGGTCTTCCGATATGCCTGGCTTTCTAAAGGCTTCCAGAGCCTTGGTTTTGTATCGTAGCTACAACCATGGAGCCATTTCATTTTCCCTGGGGCCAAGAACGGCATTTCTCAGTCCAGCGCTGTTGCGTTAAAAATAATCTGCTACTAGTACACCGTAATGTTCGAAATTCCGATATAACAGACTGTGACTGATCGAGTCAAAATTCATCGGGAACTCTGCCACGGGTTCGTTAGGTGTGAGATGACGGAAAAACAGTCGGTAACTTAGAGCTTGGCACGACTGGGGCGGTATACCAGGGGTCGCTGGTGGGCGATGCCTTGGTGCGGAAAATCCCGCAAGTGGTCGTGTAGGTCGGCGCCGGATAACCGCCACCTCCCGCGATAAAAACGTGCACTTCCCTGACAAGACTAATTGCCTGAGCACTTGACGTCCCCTGAAACACTAATCGATCAATCAAACGGTATTATCAGGAAACTACCCCGGGTGGTCGCGGTTCTGATTCTATTCAGTATTAGTACTTGTTACCACAGATATATATATTTTTATTTACAGGTTTCCCTGACTACATTCTGAATCCTCAACAGCTGGATGAGAAGTACAAGGATCTCAATATTACTGAAAATGAATATTTCCAGAACAACATTAATGTGAATTTGTTCAATCTGAAGAAGAACCTTGAGAAGTTGGATCAACCTGTGAACAAAACTCGGTAAGTAATACACTTTGAGTACTACTTAATAACTATTGTTAATACATTTTGAATCATTCAACCTGTAGAAACAATATAATTCTATTATAGGGTGAGTTTTTTCACTGATAAATGTTCTTTTCAGATGGGGAATGACTCCACCTACAGTTAATGCATATTACACACCAACAAAGAACCAAATAGTTTTCCCAGCTGGAATATTACAAGCTCCATTTTATGATATCAATCACCCACACTCTTTGAACTATGGTGGAATGGGAGTAGTCATGGGACATGAACTGACCCATGCATTTGATGATCAAGGTACATTGTTAAACGGTAACATGTACCAATTCTTGTATTTCACCACTTTGAGATATATCCAAGATTGAACCAAACACACTTTTTACCAAGGTGTTTGCCTCCCCCAATGCAAACATTTATTTTTAAACATCATCATAAAATTAATTTCAATAAAGATTTTGATAGAGTATCAAATCTGTTTAGATTAGATATAGTTCTTTTTTGTATAGCACTATACCTGTAAACACACTGGCAGTCTTGTTCCATTGGAAGTGTTGAGAATGAATAAAATTGTTAAGTAGCGTAATTAATGAAAGTAAAATATGACATCAGTCTCAAAATGAGAGTGACTTTTAATAATAATAAACTTCAAATTGTAACATGTGTAAATTGCATCTAGTGAGTAAAAATCATTTCAAAAGTTAGTCTTTTTTTCATGTAAGAATATCTATGAAGCTGTAAAAATTACTGTAAAAATGGGTTACTTTGTCCCGAACTTAGTGACAATTATTACTGCCAAACTATATTGAAGGTAAGCTTGCTTTACTAGTGATGAGCCATTGTGGAATTACCATTTTATGCAAAGCAATTACCATGCATGGGTCAATATTTTTTTGCATTTGGAGAAAAGTAATACTACAGGGCCAAAAAATCAATTTTTAATGGTACTGTGTATTAAGTACATACTTATTGCTAATAAATATAAATAATATTGAAAATAAAAATATTGTAGATAACAATAAGAATAAGAACAGTCTCACTTCAGTTTTTTAATTAGATGCCTTTATTGTGAAAGTATCTCACTCAATAACTAAATCAAGTGCATCACATTGACAACATTGAAGGAATCCTCCATAATATGCATAGTGCCTTCACAACTTGAAAATTGGAATGGAAGTGTTTTTAAATAGAAATTATTCAAGAAATGTTGAAATCACATATTCTCTGAACTTACCTGATAACCTAATGTCTTTCAATAGGAAGAGAATATGATCGAATTGGAAATCTCCATCAATGGTGGAACAATCAAACTATATCGAAATTCAAGGAAAGAACAGATTGTGTCGTTAACCAGTATTCAAAGTATGAGATTAACAGCAAACATTTGAATGGAAAACAAACCTTGGGTAAGTGGAAGTTTTATCTGTATTAAAAGTAAAATTAGACGACCTTGATGGTCAAGGTGGCCAAGAGTGTGTACTGACTCAGCGCTTTGGTCCGAAGGGTCGTGGGTTCAAGTTCAACCTTGCGCGTGGTTGTTTGTCCCTTCTCTCATGTATGTGTTGTTGCGGAGAGCCTCATATTCTGCTGACCACAAATCAGAGGAACCCGCAAGTGTGTTGGTGTCTAGTGTATGGTCGAATGTGCGGCCCATTGGGACATTAAAGAGTAGCTGGCTGTTGGCTGGATAAAATCCCTAGGGAAAAAAAATTACAAATAGTGGGGAGAAAACCACTACTCCTTAATTAGTACCTTTAATTCTTCTATATTTTTGAAACAAGAAAATGCATTAGGGCTGTAAAAGAGACTTAAGGACCATGGGGCCCCCTGTTTATTGTTTCTCCCTTCCTAACCACTGTTTCCTAGTTTAAGTTGTTCATTATCCTAATAATTAAAGCACCTTTATCTTCTAATTTTTAAATCTTCGTTTACAAATATTGTATATTTTTCTCCTCACTTGGAGTTTCCTAAGCTTGGGAATGTGGAGAGATGCTCCTGGTGCCCTGGTGATAGTTTCAGCTCTGAAATATATGAACAAGTTGTAATGAAAAATTGGAATTATACAAAGAAAAAAGGCCATGTGTGTGACAGAGGAAGAACAATAATTGAGATTAGTGTAATTCACTGTCATATTTCTTCTTCATTTCATTAAATTTCTCCTATTACCAATTAACTATTGTAAGTGAAATCACAGTAGTTTGTGTGATATGGTAGTGTAATAAAACTCCACTATTTTAGAATTTTATTTTTATGTATAATTTCATTTATTCATGAGCACACGTTTAATTTAATATTATCAGTGCAATTTAGTGCTTAAAAGTAATTACCTAGTATATTTATATATGTATTTGCATTCTTTTATTATAGGGGAGAACATAGCTGATAATGGTGGTCTCAAAGCAGCTTATCATGCTTACCTTGATTGGGCAGCAAATAACCTTGAAGACCCTCCTCTTCCTATTCTCAACCTTACACACAGGCAACTATTCTTTCTGAGCTTTGCCCAAGTAAGTGATTTCTTATAAGATTGTTGAGAGATACTTGTCAATAATATGTGAAAATAATTATTAATACTGTGGCAATAAGGGTCATTAGTTGTGGACATTTATAAATTTATGAATTATTTATTGTGTTTTTATAAAACTTAATATTTTTTAGGTATGGTGTTCATCTAGCACAGAAGAGGCCACTAAACTGCAGATTGATAAAGATCCACATTCTCCTCCCAAATTCCGTGTCATTGGTCCTTTATCTAATCTCCGTGAATTTGCAGAGGAGTTCAATTGTGCCCCAGGTACTAGGATGAATCCAAAGAAGAAGTGTGAAGTTTGGTGAAAATTCCAAACCTCACAAATGAAAGTTTCTTACAGAAACAAATGAACTTAAGTATAAAGTGCTTTCAATGGAAGTAACTAATTGTGAGAAAAGAAAATTCTGTTTGTTTCTGTTCAAATACATATAGTCACAGACTTCATAAATGTTTGTTCTTTTACCAAATGATCTAGGGACCTATCATAAATACATATTTCAGCAAATTTTATTTTACAGACCATATAAATTAACATATGTTTATTTTATTTGTAAAATAATTTAAGATTGACTGAGTGCATGGTAGCCTTACATTTGATGAGGCTATTACCTTTCCTCATTATTTTCATAGATCTCCAAGAAGTGTACCTCACAATCTTATTACAATATCACATATAAATATTTTCATGCATTAATGAAAGATGAAAAGTGGTGATAACATTCTTTGATATTTTAGACAATGTACTGATCAACAAAGAATTGTAACTACCATAATCTTCTAGTCAATGAATGTTCAGATTCTGCATCCTTTGGTGCTGTATATTACTCTTTGAAGACATGTATAAGATTCATTAATTTTTGTGTGTTAATAGAGCATTATATTTCATATTTGTTAATTATTTTAATGTCCAGAAAATTGCTTGTATTAATTATTTCTCCTATCCAGTGCACAATGTATACACAATATTTGTTTAATGTTGTCATACCTAGAATATGTACCTCATTCACAAAAAAAAAACAAAAACAGGTGAGCTGAGAACTAATGAGGATCTGTGCCTGAGGTTAAAACAAAGTCAAGAAATGTGTGTTGTACATTTTGTGTCTGTTGTTACCATATTTCAAATGTAAAAGGAACACTTTTACCATCAGAAATGGGTTCACATTCAGATTTTACTGGCCTATATATATACTATGTTCCAGCTATGTTCTTCAATAAACTTCTCTGATGTGTAATTGAGGTTAAGTATTGAAGATATAAAGTGATTCCTTAGGGAGTACAATGGCCATATGGAGTCATCCGTCCTTGTGAAGGAGTAAGCAGCTTCTTTGAGCAGAATTTAGTTTTCTTTGAAAGAGACATCTGAAAGGATAACTTCAGAACCAATATTACAATCAAAATTCTTGATGGCAAGTGTACATAATAATTTTTTTCTCTTATTACAGATTATAAATCTGTTTTAATGTATTTTATATCTTCCTTCCAGTTTCCATGTTGTCATATTTAACAATTTATACTTTCAATTTTCCGTGTATAAGTGACAACTGGAATATTTTAGTTATTTTGAATGAAGATCTCAAGATGTTGACTTTCTAGAACTATGACTTGATCATGATATAGAGTGAAAAAGTAGACTTAAATAACACTTATCTTTTTTAAATGAAGATGTTATTCTCTGTGAAATTGTATATGTTAATTAAGTTTATAATATATGCTTCCTTATTTCCATTTTAACCCATTTCTGGCAGTGAAAATGTATGTTACTTTTCAGATATATTACCAAAGATTGAATGTAAGAGTTGAACAAAACAAGACACATATATATATAATAAAATATTTAAAGATTTTCAATACTGGAGTGTTTAAATATTTCAATATTTGGAAGGCACTAGATAAGTTTTCAGCCTAAACAAATTTCCAAATGTAGAGTGCTGTGACAAATACAAACATTCCTCTACATTATTAATTCAAAGATTGAAGTCATTTGATTCACAGATCATGGAATAATAGAGTGCTAATTGTAGTGATCTCTAAATAGTCATTGAACTGACTTTTCCCCCCCCTTCCCCTTTTTTTCTTTTTCTTTTGCTTACCCTGTAACTTGTGAAACAATGTCCCAAGACCTTTTGTTGTTGAACATGAGGAGTAATTTTCCTTGAACGTGCTAAGTCAGTCTTATGTCAAGTCAAATCTGTTATTGACTCTTATCCCTATCAAGTTGGAGTTCAACGCCATTAGTATCTGGGGTTCCGAGACAGTCTCCCATCCGAGAATCCACAGTGACCCAAGCTACTTAATTTCTGTGACATAACAAGGGTTGGTTAAGGAGTTTTGCTACTGGCGCAGGCAAGTTAGTCTGTACAAGAGTAATAATACACCATGATAGAACGTAAAATACTAGCCTAAGCAGTTTAAATGAGATTGATAATCAAAGTTGATCCTTACTGTGGTAGACCTGTTGACTTTGGAGGACTGAAGGAACATTTTTTCAAAAACTTGTAGTCACAATAGGAATCTTATCCTAAGTTCTAATTGTGTTGAAGCTCAGGGGCCCTTTGTGATGTGGGGTAAATTTGGCAAGAAAGAAATGTTTAAATATAAAAGTTCTTTAAAATAAAGATTTCATTTATGTTAACATTTTTATTCTAATTGTTTTTATTTGACTAATTGATAAATAAAGCAGAATTTATTCAATTACAATATTGTAATTATATACCTTCAATTTTGAAATGTAAAAGAGTTTATGTTTAACTAATAAATTTTTTTATATGAATAACCTACATCTACTCAGTACAAGGACCTGAGATTGAAATTCATTAAGATCACCAACTTTTCTCCAAAGAAAAAACGAAGAGGGATAATTTTCACATGCAAAAAGGACTTCTAAACTAAGGGGATTATATTGAAAAGAAATAAAATAATTGTTAATCAAACTCAATTATTTTTAACTTTGGTAGAAAACTTATCAAGTGCATATAACATGCCTCACACCACTCTTCCTGTTCTTCCAACAATTTAATGATAGTGTATGAACTTTTTTAGATGTCAATAACACAGGATGGACAGTAATGCCAGCTAAATAGCAAAATTTTAAATTGGTCTGGTACATATTGAAACCTATATCAAATTTTCCAAGGGAAAAAGTCCTGTTAGTATCATTGCTCATCCAACTGAAGCTGGAAAAAATGCTGTTCCCTGGGACAGACAGGGACTTTTAAGTTTATTCCTATGAAATAATGGAGAATTTAGATTTGATGCTGTGGTCTGTCTTTCCTAATTGTGGATTTTGTAGCTGGTGATTTGACTTGGTATTATTGATTGTTTGAGATAAAGATCCTTAAAATTGATTTTCTGACTTAAGAAATTTAATTTTGGTGATTTTTCTTATTGCACTTTCTATGCATTATCTAATGTATTTTATAATTTCTTCATTAATTAGCTTTTTAAATATAATATTGGTAGTTAACGTTTTATTATAGTCATCTCAACTTTTAAAAATACTGAGTTCATAATTAAAAATACTTTATATCTAAATAAGAGTTTACTGTATACCTGTATACTAATACTGTATACCTAAATAAGTTTTAAGTCCACATGATGAAAGCGACTTTGCAGAATTTACAAATTAAAAAAAAAAAAGTTTGCACTGTGGAATGACACAGACAAGATATCAGGAATTTGAATGCAAGCAAAATTGAATGGTAAAATATACCCCCCTAAAGGGACATAGTACATTAAAGAGCAGGAAAGTGTAGGTTGTAGTGTAGGATAATTAAGAGTTTTCTCGATTCATGAACATCTGCACATCCTAGCAGAAAAAGGATAGAAGCAACTTGGAGGAAAGATATTGGGAGAAAACAGTCTCAATATAAATATGACATTTTATAAAGTAAATGCAATTATAAAAGGAGCAAGGTAAGAGGCAATGAATGAAGGTGCTTGAGTTGAAATTCTTACATTATTTCATTTTTTTTATCAGGAGAAATTCACAGAAGTATTCATGAATTATTCCTGTTTTTCTCTGCTGTTGATTCATTGTTACAATTTTATACTATATACTATATATATATATATAATATTATATTAAATTATATATATATATATAAATATAAAACTTAAATATATATATATTATATATTAATATTATTACTATATATATATAGTTAACATCATATTATATAATATATATATTAAATAGATGAAGAAAAGAATAATGCTAAAGTAATTCAGGGTGTAATATGACACAAAAATGTCATGACTGTTTGGCACGGAGATCTATATGAAACTTGGTTCACTTCAAAGAATTCAAAAAAGTAAGTGAAATTACAAAACATGAATTGCCAAGAGCAACACATGACCAATGGCATAACGAGGGGAGAAAGGATATAGTCTACCCAAAGAAAATATTAATTCATTGTATATAATGTAGATATATATATATTTCAATCCTCCCCATGGGATACCATCTTGTAATAGTAGTATCTGTGTGGGCGAGGAGGATTGCATGTTTCAATGATGTGGAAGGCTATGCCAGCTGTAGCTCATTTAGGCATGTCTGCTGGTAGTGTCACCCATGCTGGGCAGACTGAAATGGAGAAACCAGACTAACATGTCTCACAATGCCCTCTCTTAATCCTACTCCCCATTCCATGTCCTATAAGCACCTATGTCCCATTTAATTCCCCTCAGGGATACAGTCAAATCTACTGCCTTTCTTCAGGTCTGACATCTTTTAGTTATTTACGCCACACATCTGTTAACTTTTCTATCAGACCTATCTTGGCCAACTCTTGTTTTTATCATGCTGATGCAATTAGGTTTCCAAGACTAGGGAGTCCTTTCTTCTCATTCTTTAACTTGTATTATGTACGCCTTTGAAAGTGGAGAGAAGCCTCATTAGTCCTAAAGAGAAGACAACCCCTCTACGGGGCATAGGAAGCTTGGTAACAAAACCCCTTGGTCCACAAGTTTGAGAATTTGGACATTGGGCTTGGTCCCCAATATCAGTAAAAAAAAAATTAAAATGCAAAATGTCTCGATAATGAAACTCTGATAGTAATGGAAACTATATTGTACATGAAAAAGGACTTTGAATTTTGGAATGTAATGTGCAGGGCTTATATAAACATAAAATAGTATTTGTTCAACTAGATAAGTTAAAAATTGACATTGCTCTTCTCTCTGAAACGAATAAAAAGGGGCATGGAAGTGAAATTAAAATAAACATCTTGCTCTTCAGTAACTGCTTGGCTGTCCGGTAAATGCTGCATCCTAGGCACAGATGCTAGTGTTCACCCTGGGGAAGGTCGCAGAATGGTGGCCGAAACGCTGCGCTTCTATTAGCAACTACATAAAATTTAATAATATTAGTACATTCTATATTTAAAACTTTAAATGGTGATGAGGAGGAGGCAAGTTTTGACCAGCTTTTTCTTTTTTTTCTTTGCAAAGTCGATTTGCGCTTTGCGAATAATTTTGCGAAGTTGTTACGAAGTTGAAAATAAAATATAAAATATGGTATTAAACTTGTTGCCAGACACATATAAAAATGACACTTTTCATATCACATGTATTATTCAAGTACTAAAAATATGTAATTATCCATGTGTTAAATACTCTAGAAAAATCATAACAGTTCAACATTTTCATGTTTTGCAATAACAATTTCTCTGTCAGGGAAAGGATACATTTTGTTTGCCTACAAGGAAACAGTTACATTTTATAATGTAAACAAAAACTGTGCTTTGTGTCTGAGAATGCTTGAGAAGAGCAGCAAATTTCAGGATTTCAGGAACATCTAAGTATGTACAAGCCAAACTATAACAGAAATATAATATATCAATTTGATAATCTCTTGGATGAAAAATGGATACCAATGAATTCTTTTGCAAAAATTCATTCAGTTTATTAAAATATATTTTTTAAAGGCTCATGAATTTTCATTGATATTTCATAATACAGTAGTTATAGTTCCAAAGTGAAAAAGCATAAAACAGACAAAATTATGACTTACTACATCTACTCCACAGTGTAACATTAATGAATACTTGGGGTATTTGAACCTAGAGCCCATCATTTGTGAACTCAAAGCTTGTTCTTATAATTTCATCCATTAAGTATAATGACAACGCATGCTAATCATTGAAAAGTGTATGTGTACTTCAGTACACATACACTTTTTCAATAATCATACATGTTTCGTTTTTTTTAATTTAAGTTACTATATTCAAAGGAAGAGGTTGCTGGAGGATGATTGTCATAAAAATTAGACCCATCAAAAAAGAAACAATTTGTGAAAATATTCATTTTTTAAAGATATTTATCATTTCCTATTTGCTGCATTATGCAATGAAACAAAGATGTATTCAATGTATGATCATGAAAACCAATTGAAATCACAACTTAAATTGTAATAATATATTAAAATATATTTTTACTTAGGTACCTCTAACGAAATAAGCTGATTGTTTGAAATTGTTTAATTTTGAAGTTTGTGGAATATATGTCACGTAGGTATAAATGCCAATTGTGATTTTTAGTTTTTGTGTGTATGTTTGCATGCATATGTGTACAAGATTAATGAGAATTCCATACTCCTTTGTAGTATGATGAATGAATGTAAAAAAATGTTTTTTCGAAATGGGAATACTCCTTTGGTTGGAGAGTAATTGTTTTCAATAAATTGAGTAAGATTTTAAAAGATATTTGCTTAGGGGGGATTTATTGCTATAAAGACCATTCTTGAATCCATCATTGAGACATCTCTGAACTACTAAAATTGCACAGGAATTAAATCTTTCAGACTTTGAACAGATGAATTTAGACATTCATAAGTTACAAGAAACAAAATTGAAGTTTTATTTTCAACATTCTGGGACTAAAGCAGGCATGGAACTGTGGGGAGGAAAATGAGGGATATTTCCTCCCCTAAAAGTTTTCAGTAACTATTAATTTTAACTTGTCATGAAACTTTCAAGCAAACATTTTTTTTGATAATGATTAATACTAATAAAATCATATCACAGCATGAGCTCAGTGTAGCCTACAACATTTTGCAAAATCTCTAATATGATGTATCAAACCAAAATATTTTAAATTTCCCCTCCTAAAATTGGTCTTTGGATCCATCCCTGGACTAAAGAGATATTTCTTTATATTGAACAATGTCTATCAATATGCAAATGATATGAATTATGAAGAGCAACAGATTTGTCCAACAATACATACCTGATAAATTTTAAAAACTTTACCCTTCACCCCACTAAAGGCAGTGTGTAAATTATTATTACTGTAGAGAAGTAATTGAATTATCCAAAGAATTAAAAAGAAATAATTGTTGGTAAGTTTGTTTAAACATTTAGAAAAATAACAATTTTGTATAATCAATTTACATTTCTCTATGAAATAAATAATACAAAAAATTACAGTAAACTAATATTGCCATCTTTTTTTCTCTTTTCAACTGATTTGTCAACTTATAATGCACAAAATTGTTTCAAATTTATCTTAAACAATTAGCATTGATTTCTAAATTCACATTTGGACATAAACGGACAACTCAAGTACAATTTTCTATGATATAAACTTAAAAAGAGCTTTGGCAAAGTTACCCAACGTACAATTAACCTCAAATAGTGGAACTGAAAGAGAATTGTGTGTTGTGTTAAACATATAAAGAATTTTTTATTTAAGTTTCACTGAATGGGTGGACCAATACACTTTTTAAGA